GTTTTTTTTTTTTTCACAATTTCGAAGTGCAATAATGTACGAAATTAATCGGCTGCCCGTATGCGCTTAAAAATTATGACGTTCAATACGCGTAAATGGGCCAAAATTAATGAAATACTTAAACAAAAACAACAACAAAAATAATTATACATACATATGTGTGATTCAATGGGCTGGCATGAAAATATTGCGGAATTCAATCCGCTTCATTTTTTTTTTTTTTTGTTTCCATTGAAGTGGAATTTTCATTCCAGGAAATTGCTTAAAATTTAAATGAGGTGGAAATCTTTTATTTTACTCAATGTTCACAAAATTTATGTATCTTACATTTAGTATGCGATGGACAAATTAAAGCACGCACTCACGTCCTCTTATATATGTATGTATGTATATGCTGTATGTATGCCATTCATTAGATGAAAATTTTCCAATTTTTTTTTAATGTCGCATGATTTATTTGAAAACGCAAAATTTGGTATAATTTTTTTTGATTTATTTAGGTGACTAATACGCCAAAATTTGACAACTATGACAAACAAATATAGATTTATACATAGAATAATTCAAATTAAAAAAGAAAATATAATTAAGCTAATAAAATAGCTCTAACATGGCCCATGAGAAACGTTATTTCGTGTTGATTCACAAGGTGTTGGAACTCTGACTTGCCATAATGTCCTAAATTTTAATACGAATAAAAATTCTACGTGTCTTTGCGAATCTTGTAATTATATTTTCAACATTATTTCAAATGTATGTCATTTAGTAATAATGACAATTAGGTAATCCCTTATAAATATCATCTTATAATAAAACCAAAAAATTTCCAAACTAACGAAAAAAATATATTCGCGAAACTAGGAGCCAAATATGGTAAAACTGGGTTTTTAATTTTTCTCCCTGGCGTCAGGAAGTTTTAAAGGACTTTGAAATTTCAAAGATATGTTTAATTTATATATTTTTTCTTAATTCAGTGCAATGTAGAGTGAAAATATGGATTCCAAATAAAAATTATTTGTATTTTTTTAAGCGAATGACGGAATTCGCGGATGTGCTCATGTTTATGTATATTAGTTTTTAACACGTAATTTATTCAAAAACAAATGTTGCAAATTTTCAAAGATTTTCAAGAATAAAATGTTAAAAGGACATTTTCAATACCTATTCGTCTTTATGTACCAAAAAATTAACCATTTTCAATTCTATAGACTTTTCTCTTTTCTGTGATACCCATATTGCTATCATACAATCGAACTTAATTATGCCTTTCATGACCATAAAATGGTATTATAACTTTAGTCCATGGTTTGTAGGTCCTAGAAGGAAAAGAGAAGAACAATGAAAGTGTATACCAAAGTGATGGCATCGTTGAGCTGAATCGATCTGGCCCGTCTGGTCTGCCCGTTCGTCTCTTTGAACGCAATGTACTCGGATATTCGACTGAAATTTCGTAAGGGGGTGTATTTTTTTAATGCATTAATTATTTGTTCGATTTGACAAAATCGGATCACTATACCAGCATTATATCAGCATTGGTATAGTAGTAAATTTGATCAGTTTTTGTTTCAATGCTTCAATATTTACTTGACTTCTCCAGCAAAAGTAGAGTCTCTTGGTAATGAGGTCAAAGAGCCCACATTTTTTTAATTATGTGCCAGTGTAGTGTGACACATCTAAAAAGTGCCGTCAGAAATATGTATGTAAGTTTTCATGTCCGTTGATCTTTGAATAATATTGCAAATAAAAATCCATCCTAGAATTGTGATTTTAAAGTTAACATAATAATAATAATAAATACTCTGCCGTAAGCGTTCATGAGATGTGAACAGTGCCGGATTATGGGGAAGGGCCGATGGGCCCCCACATGTGATGACGAAAGATCCAAAAAGTAATTTTTCAGAGATTACCGAAAAGATCGCTGGGTATTAAGAAGATTATAGGAAATAACAACTTTATGCGGTGAGAAAGCACAGGTAGAAATAATACGCCTGATCTAAAAGACAAAATATTTATTCGTATTATTCCATCTCTGTTCATAAACGAGACTGCCGGGGTCAGTCGTTTAATACTGCATGCAACATGAGCGGAAAGTGCTAAGGAATCCAGGCGAGAACTTCAAAAGAAAACATGTCGTAAAAAGTAAATAATTATCGATACTCTTAAAATGAAAATATAATTATTTGTTTCCAATTAATTGTATGTAATTATTAACTCATTAACTCAAAAAGGGGCCCTCACATGTATAACGGCTTCGTGCCCCCATATTCTTAATCCGGTCCTGGATATGGAGCTTTAGTTCTATCAAGGGGCAAGTTTCAACTCAATCGCTTACCGAATGTAATTTCCGAATATTTGGTCTCGTGAGAGTTGGGATTATAATTCATGTGAGCGGAGCATTGAGCTGAGGCCTTTGCTGATACCCTCCTAAGTACATCAGAATCACAAAGAAGCATCGCCATTTGAAATACTCGAGAAAACAGTTGGCATTAGAAATACATACCCTTATTTCAGCTAGATTGCTCTGTTTTGCACAAAAACTTGTTTGAGCTCTTCATTAGCATGATGTATGCAGGCTCTCTCCGGCTAGAATATTTTCTTCGACTCTGCAAGTTGCCGTTAAAATCGATGAATGTGAAAATATAAAAATTTTGTTGTCTCTTCAGACAGTGAAGAGGCCATGAAGTCCATCTCTAATACTGTACTGTAAAGGTTACTGTATTTTAAAATGTATACGGTACTGACGGCAGGAAATGAGTAATGTAAACACGAGTTTTGAATTCTTGCTTCTTCATCAAAACTAAACCACTTTGAATAAGTTGTGAATAAAAATATGGGTTTTCTATGTTTGGAAATTGGTTTTTTGTTGACTAATCTTTGATGATGAGGCTGTGGTTTCGGTAAGACGAATTTTATTCGTGTGACATCGCATTCCTTCTAAACCACAACATACGAAATGTAGCCATTTCACAGTCAAAGCGATTCGATCTACCATTCCCAAAAGTTTTGTGGTTAAAAATTTACTCAGGAAAAAACAAAAATTTAAAATATTAAAAGCATTTCCTCCCGGACATTACCGGACTCTTGTTTGCAAGTTGAGTAAGTCCAATAACATCTGCAACACTGTGACCAACAATCGAGCAACACCAGCAGAAATTTATGTACCAACTGTTGAGCTTCCGTTTTCTTTAATATTTCCCAACTGTCATTTACCACCCACAAAGCCTTTGGCGACAACCGCTCTCCCGCACAGAAACAACCGCACACACACACACACACACACACACAAACACACACATAATCATTTCTATTCACTAAGTAAGTAAGGCAGCAGACTCAGCAGTACATGTGGATGGCATGAGTGCTCTGTGGTGTAGCAAAAAAAAAATAACCAATCCTTCTTTTTTTGCCGGCTAAGGCACAACATTATCTACTCTTTCACACAAACTCATTGTAGGCAAAGTCTATAACAGGGCCGGCGCACCTTTATACATACACGTGCCATTATTGCCAAATAATTATTCAATATAGCCCCATGACGTGCCAAAAAGGAGTCATGAGTCAAGATTTATCACCGTTCTTGGAGATATTAGTTGACAAGTAAATCGTGTAAAAAAAACAAATAAAGCGTCCTTATTTCCTTGTCTCGACTAAATTTTTTAGTCCATATTGAATTACACTGGCACTCAATTAGCTGCATTTCAAAATCTTCGATTTCCAGCCAATCAAATTTAAACGAGTTCAATTTATCTAGTGAAGTCACATGAGGATATAAATACTCGTATGTATAATAAATTTGAATGTTTCCGGTAACTTCTTGAATTCAGAAAACCTCGATGAAAATTCGTCGATGAGTGAATTTATTACCAAACTCTTCAGGGACTTCTCATCCATCTGGTTTTTCAACTAAATCCAACTCTGATTTTAAATTTGTTAAGTTTGGCAAACATTTGGAATTTTTGGAAACAATGGGAAATATTCATGGTCAATTTAAAGACGACACTAAAGTTAATTGCAGTTTTTTGACATAATTATCAATGTAGTATCTGCCAAAAAGGCTGCTATGACTATTCATCAATGTCTTTACCTATAATTTTCAGTTTAGCCTATAAAGCTCGAACGAGATCTATGCATCACAATTATAACAGTTCTATTAGAGCCTTAAAGCTTTACGTTAAAATCATTGAAATGCTGAAATGGTTTTGTTGGTTACTGTCTGTATTTTTGGCTCTTCTGACCTGTTCTCTTGGGTGTGAGTGGATCTTGCTTTCCAATCTCCAATTTAAAACAAAAAAAAGATTGTGTCGATTAGTTAATTGTAGTAGTTGGGGAATTGAGTCATCAATTAATAGCGTGCCCAAATAATTTTTTTTGTGTGCCAAAAAATGGCACGCGTGCCTAAGGTTCGCCAGCCCTGGTCTCTATAACAAAGTACAAGCGCCTACAACAGCAGCACAAAGTCAACTAAAAATACATAAAAAACAATTACGACACAAAAACCATGCCAAGAATGCCATGAGAATAGCAACAAAAACATGAAGCTTACAGGTGTTTTGATAAAGGCAGCTATGCTCCTCTGCTAGACCTATGGGTGGCAGAACAACAGTGCGAGGGTGTGTTAGAGAGAAAGAAAGCGAGCGAGAGAGAGAGGGAGAGAGCGAGAGCGAGAGCATCAACAAGGATTTTCGCTGCGCAGTTGGGAGCTTTTGGTTGCTCTGTTTTCATGTTAGCCGTAAGGCACGCAGGAAAAGCTCAGCACGTTAGCAAGTATTTATTGTTGTTGTTATATGAAGAAGCGAACAATTGGCTTGGTCGTGTGGCGGCGACGGTTGATTTCGCTGCTATTTCGTTTGGTATTTTCTTACCTTCGAAGTGGAAATGCTTCAGTTTATTTTCAACATTCGGTGTGTATGGTACATTTTGTGGAAAAATACGCGACGAATTCTTTTGAATTTCATTTATTTTTGAAAATTTCAAGTGTTTAATAAAAAATATATATATTTATATATATATACCTGTGTAAAAACCAAATACAGTAAAAAACATGTAAAATCTCTAAACGGTGGTTACTTTTAAAACCAGCGAATCTACTCTGCAGATTCTGTTCTCTTAATAAAAGTGTGTAGAAAAACTAAAATTAAGTATTCAAAGTAAAAATACAAATTGAAGTAAATATTTTCAAAATGCTGCCAATGCGTTGGCAGCAGAATTGGGAGCTAGACTCAAAGGATTAAAGATTGAAAGAGAGTGAAGGTAAAAAGAGTGCATAGATAAGAAATAAGTACAAAAATAATGTGTGTGTAAATACTATGGATAAAAGAATAAACAAAAAAAAAAAGAATAGAACATTTTGTGTGTACTGCTTAAATGTAAAAGCGCGCTGTTGTGCTAAGAGGTGAATACTCAAGTGTTTCAAGTGCTTCATACATGCTTTGTGTTTACTTTATAAATTTCTGTCATTGTGCCAACATTAAATATTTAATATAAATCGAACGCTGCTGAGCCCTACTGAGCACCACCTGTACATATTGTACTTCTTTACAAATCTTTCGTCCATCCGCTTAACCTTTCTAGCAGGCTCATCTCCATCTAAACACATACATATATACACACATATATCGTTATGCCTAATACTTTGATCCGATCGCTAAATTGCTTGACTGTCCAGTGCGCTGCCTTGGGCGTCCTATTGACTTATTTAGATTGCTTTTATTGCTATTTGACTGTCTGCTAGACTACTTGTTTGTCCTCGGTCTGCCCGTCAATCTTTCTTTCAGCCGGGGTTGGCAAACGCGCTGCTGGTTGCAATACACATATACCGTTATTTTCCTTTTAAGGTATATGTGTGCCATGCGCTTGGCTTATCAACCTTTCTATTTCCTGTTAAACTCTTCTGCTCCTCCTCCTCAGTCTGGCTCGCTTGCTGTGAGCTATTTACAATTCGTTTTTCCTTCAACACCTCCTGTGGTTGCCGCTGTGGCTGGCGCTAATCAACTGTCGCAGCATTGTCATTGTATAAATTTTTCACCTTTTCATTAGCTACCTAGCCGCCATGTCGCCGCCCTCAATGAACCTCTTCCATTGCATTTGTGTCAGGCCACATTAATTTCACTTTTAATACACTGTTGATGGCATCTACTTGTTCTTCACATACTAACCTGCGCTTTTATGGCTGTGTGCCTGTGTGTATGCAGGTGCAGGTGCAGGTGTGTCTCCTCATAACTGTCGCCCGCGCGCTCTTTTTGTTTCTATTGACGCTTCATGTGCTCAGCCACTTCATTATGGACATGATTTATTCCCTTTATTATTTAATATGTATGTATTCACATTTTCCAACCTTTCTGACTTCTTTGCGGTTTATTTTTGTTATTATTTTCTTATTACACCCTATTTGCGCCTGTGTTTTATGCTTTTGTGGATTATATACTTTCCTTTTATGGCTTTATCCACATAAGCTGTCGTTCCTTTTAAGGTTTCTTGTATTGTTTTTTTTTTTACATCAATTTTTCTTGGTATACTGTTTGTTACTGTGGTCTTGTTGTTTTGTTGCAATGCGACGCAGAAAAATTTATTTGACACCCCTCTGACCTTGTGTACTTCAACTGAAAATGTCTTTGGTGTAAAATTCTTTTAAATAAATATTTATAGACTAGCAAATACCTTAAAGCCCGCCAGGAATGCTTTTGACTGACAAAACGCACAGAAGATGCCAAGACGACACAATGAAAAGGTTGCGGCAAACAAAACGGCTCAATTTGATTGGTCAAAAAACAGCTGGTTTGAATTGTCCCATAAATTTTTTGCCAGTCAAAAGCATCCCTGTGACTTAGAAAAGAATTTCTATTTTGCGTTGACCAATACAAAAATAGTGTTGCTAAGTATGAAAAAGTGGTTTCTAATTTAAAAATTATTAGTTTAGCTTGAAAGGACTGAAGAGCAGAACCTTGCTTACTCATAGGCCAAGAATAATAGCGCTGAGATAACATTTGGGTTAAGTATTATTCTCCTTCGTTGCTATGAGCTCTTATTTCCGCCTATGAGATATCTGCAAGTATTGCAAGGTTTGCCGATAATACATTAAGCATCTACCATAGATACATACATATTTATGTATGTCAACATACCAAATTTCAAAGTCATGTGCCCTACGGTTTCGAAGTTATAGCTGATTAAATATGTCACGCCTATGGGAGGTGCCACACCCCCTTGCCAGATCTCATTTTTTATACCCTCGGACGGAAAATTTTTGCAAATAAAACTTATCAGCACCAAAATTGCTCTTTTGCTGTGCGGTTTTATGTAGGAATTGGGTTTGAATTAAAAATTAACAAATAATTGGAAGGAATAACATGTGATAACAGCGTTTCGGATATCCTTTTACTTCAAATACCGGTTGTACGCCGAATATTTTACTAATTAGGATCATTGCCGTGCGCGTATTAGAATAATCGTAAGTCCTATCAATTTAAAACTGCCCTCCAAATTTTATCTAACTCATACAAGGTAATGATGCTTTCAAAAGGGGAAAAAATAATTTCAAAGTCCGTAGCGAAAAACGACATTTATATATGAAAAGAATTTAAATTTCCGAACATTTTACTAAGGATGATATTGCACTAACATTTTGGTAATCTGTGCTCTGGGCTCATTAACCTATTATTAAATTAAAATTTTTGCTGTCAGCCGTGTTAGTTTGATTTCAACATCGAAAAGGGAAATATTGATTTATGTGCAAATTCTGTAAAGTTTCTCTACCATTCAAATTACTTTGAAAATATGGTTAGTAGGGAGATCACCTTAGAAGACGGCGAGGTTTATCTATGAAGAAAATTTGTAAAATAAATTTTTTCCTGTCCTTTGAAAGGACTTATGGAGGACATATTCAGATATAAGATGCCTGCTAGAAAAAAGTTTTGTGGTACAAAAAATTGAGCGCCAATCTATCTTAACAGAAAGTATAAACATATCACAGAAACAATAATATTACCGATTTAAATTGGCCATCGCCACATCAAGTCGAAATGGAGAAAATGGAAGCTGGATTTAGAAAATTTTGGTGTGGTCTACTCTTAGCTAACTTAGCACCATAAATGCCTGAATTTTAAAACACAGTGTATATTAAAAGAATAACAACTTATTTTTGTAACACAATTTTCAGAGATAAAATCAGAGGGCTTCAAATTTTTTAAATTTAGGTATTGAAATTTAATTTCTTTTGATGGAGTAATGTAAAGCTAATCGTTTGGTATAGTTTCTTACTAGTAACAGTTTTGTCTTTTCACTTTGCTTTTACTGTACTTGTAAATGTAGGTTACTCATACGCCCCGCTACTCAAATCGTACAAATATTACTCATACGCAATGCCTTCCGAATTACAAATAAAATTTATATCGAATCTGAAATACCCAATGCTCCTTGATATTTTTTTTTCAAATTTCTGCAGTGCATTCATCAATGTTTAATGTGCATCCGATAAAGTACCCTTTATATATGTATGTATGTGCAATTTCAGCGTTCAGCGAAAAAAAAAACGGAATTTTTATCCCTAGCGCTCGGGTACATATGTAAATAACTCTCACTTCACATCAATTCAGCTCATCGCAACGCAGTGAACCAATACTTCCGTTTGTAATCTTACTTCTTTCGCTGACATGTCTAGCTTTCCCCGGTATTTACATTGACTCAGTTTCGTGCGCCTTAAAAAGTCGTTGCATTACAGTTCGCACGCACACAACCCCGCATAGGTTCTTAGCTCAAGCGCCATTCAATCACCAGCGCGGCGTGCCACGTACATAGTTGATTGTCGCACACATTGTTAGTTGCTGTCATTTTGATTTACTACAGTCATTATTCATTTACCGTTAGCAGATTATGGAACGTTCGCGTTTTTCGGTAATGCGCTGCGCTTCATTGGCTATATCTGCGCGTGTACACGCACCGAACTGCCACCTCTACTTACTCTGATCAAACATCGTTTTTGACTATTTTATTTGCCGCCGTATTTTGTGGTGATTATCACTGCCATGCCAGGTACCAGGGATGAAATTGATGGTACACTTGTATTTTTTTTTGGTACATTTTGGACCCCAAAAGTTCAATTGATACTACATAGACATTTTTGCTAAAATTTTGTCAAAATACGGCACTGCATTACAATTATTGAAATTTAATTTGAATTTTTGTGAATCAAATAGTCACCTTTTTCTACCTCATACAAGTAAATACATACGTGGTGTTTATTCGAAAACGAAAGTCTTGCGAAAATCAACAAACAGTTGCTGCTCATAAACTTTTTCAGTAAGTACTTGCAAATAGAGCGTAAAAGGAACATAGAGTGAAATTTAGGGGAAAAGAAAATTATCAGAAAAAAATTATTGAACGCAAAACTAGTATTAACAAGGAACTTACGCCATTTTGACTTTCTGTTTTGGCGCGTAATTTTCCTTTTAGTTAGAAATATTTCCCATTATCATAAAGCCAAAAAAATCTACTTTAGAGTTTAATTTTTTTTTTCACTAATTTTTTTTTGAGTATTCTCTCATCAAATCTTTCTCTTCAATTTGCTGTAAAATTTTTACTTGCAACAATTTGCAGCTCTATCTGGTTGTTATGCTCTCGAATTCACCCTTTTGCACATTTTTGGGGTTATTGAACGAATTTCCAATAAAAACTTGCAATATATTGAACGGGTCTAGGAGTGTTTTCGTATTCTCCCTACAAAATTATCCAGCAGCAAAAATTCTGAGCACACGCTATCAAAGAGACAAAATAACGAGAGGGAAAAATTTGCAAAAACTTGCAATGTTCGAAGCAGCTGATCCATTTCACGGTTGCAATAGTTAGTCCATTTGGTAATTTATTATCCAATTGGTGTATTGTCACTGATTTGGAGTTTTTTACTATTGAATACTGCTATTAACTTATTTATTTCTATAAAACAAATTTTTTTTTGCAAAAAAATGTTTGTGAAAATTCGATTCCATTAAATGCAACTGTTTTTTTGTTCGAAAATTTTTCGATTAACTTGATGTATTCGTTTGTCAATTGTATTCGAAACTTAGGGATGTGGTGGCTTTTTTAAACCATTCATCATCATTCCATCATTTTGCTTATGTGTTTTTTAAATTTCGGCAAATAATTTTTGGACAGAGAATTTTATCAAATTTAAATCATATAACTATGTGCGTATGGCCTGTTAAATGCTTGTACTTTTTCTGCTAGTTGAGTACATTTTTGTTGGCCATTTGCTACAAAATTATAAAACACATTTATCATCCCTGCCAGGTATGTACTGTAAAATGTTTGCGTGTTCCTTGCTTAATCCCGCTGATAAGCGTGTAAATTCGCCACTTTTTACGCATTCCCACACGTTAACGAGGTTCCACGCGAAGTCGCACGCGTAACAAAAACGCTTATCATGTTGAGCACGTACGAGTACATTCTCCCGTTCAATGCGGTTCGAGATTTGCCGATTTATGAGCGCGCCGCGCCGTGTTGGCCCTTTCAAGTAAGCGGCAAAATATGTATGTAGGTTTTTTCGGTCTTCGCATAGTTGTATGTGTTTTTCATAGGTGTCGGAATGTTGATCCCCAAATTTGCTGTTGCTCTTCGAGCGCCACTTCACTTAATACCTCACCTTATTTGCGCCACAGCGGCAGGGAGCGTTTTGCGGCAGGCAGGTAGCCTTACAAGTATCATTATTTACCTGCACTCCATTGTGTTGGCGCTAAGATTCGCTGGTTAGTTCATATACATACCTACTACATTCAATGGATTTTTGAAGTTGCCAGCGGGAATCGCATTATTTTAATCTAATGAACTTCACGGCTCCCCTTTTTATGGCGTTATGAAAGCTATTAAGTGCGGCGGCGCAGGCTTTGTGCAACAGTTCAGGCCGTAAATGATATCAAAAGCACGTTGGCTTTATTATTTTATTCTTTTGTTTCGCTTTGTTTTCGAAATTCATCAGGCTTATTTCAATTGCCTCAAACAGACTTGCCGAATTCGCTATTATTTGCTATTGTTTTAAGTATGAATGGGTGTATGTGCTTTTGTGTAGATACCCTGCGGGAAATGTATCGAACTATAAGTTAACTTTAAGTTGATTAGGAAGGAATTAGAGGCCACTATTATTCGTATATTTCCTTAGAGGAAAGCTAACTATATTTGTATGGCGATGGCCGCGAAATAGTCAATAGACAAAAAACAAAATATATATATTTTTTTTACTTTTTTATTAGCTACTTTATTTTGTTACATTTCATATTTGTTTTGCATTTTCTGCTGTAGTTAGTCCGATATTCGAACTCCGTCAGACATAACTTCAAAATGATAATGTAAAATTCGAAAAAGGATTTGTGAAGTACAGAGATAAAATATAGATATTTAAATAGAAACTTGTTTAAAGAAAACAATCTCCCGATTACATCTGCATTACTACCGCTTTAGATACTTTTCAACTAGTTTCAAGTTAGTTTTTTGTAGCTAACTACTAGTTATTATAGTTTTTTTAGAAATCCCGCAAAACAGCCAACTAAAAGTTGGTTATTTTTTATCAGTTGATAATTTTTTTCCTGCAGGGATATGTATGTATGTGTATATATGGATGCCTCGTTACTTCCGCCGTTGAGGAACATGTGGCGCCCTCAAATTAAATGCAATTTATATTCATTTATTCCACGCCTGCACCATATATTTGGCAAAGGAGCAGGGCATGTGCACATAATCAAAAATCTATATAAGTAAGTACATAGTATATCGGTGTGTACAGAAATTCATATATACATACACACATACATAGAGTGGCAGTGAGTAGCTAGAAAATTATGCGCAAATTTAATTACCCTTGCGTGAAAAATGCGACAGACGTGCTTTAATACGAACAAAACTGAAAATTGCGCATTTATTGCAATGAGTGACGTATAATGTGACGTATGTATATGCACTTGATAAATTTAAGACATACATACATATGTATGTAGATACATATGAGCCGCATATTTTGAATGTTGCATAAGTCACTTCCCATCGCTTGTGCTTAAATGACCGGTTACTTGAACCCTATTCCGCAATACGCTGGAATGAATAGTACATATCTTGAGCATATAGAAGCGTGGCAACCCTGATCGAAAATATTTTCTAACCAAAGTGCTCAGAAAAACCTTCCATTTGGTATCCATATTGCGATGTTTTAGATAAATTGCGTAAAATCGAAAATAAGTGGCAACCTTACACTATTATCCTAAGTGATAACATTTTGCATATAGGGAAAGCACTGTTTAAGATCCTTCTCTTGGTACCCATAAATAGTAATATTTTACCTTTTTTACTAAACAAGAAATTAAATAAATATGCGATTCAGAATAAGTGGCAGCCCTATTAAAGATATTTTAGAATTCGGGATCTTTAAAACACCTTCCATTTGATACCCATAATTAGAAGTTTTAATTAATTTGTAAATCACTTTTAATAGGTGGCAACCTTTTACGAATCTTTTCGGAGATAATACCTATTCAGATAACTTTAAATCTAAAACATTATCTGTGTAAAAAATTTCATCAAAATCGTTAGAGCCGTTTCCGAGAACCCTATGGATATATAAATATACAAGAATTGCTCGTTTAATGGAATAAGATATGTTATTTGTTCAACAATTTTATTCAATAATCTCGGAATTATAGTATAAGAAAACATGTTTTTTTAAATTGTCAATCGAAAATTGACTTCCCTTGTCATTTCAAATTTTTGAAATTTCCACATCCCTAGATGTAGTGGTGCAATATTTAAATAAACTTAATTCTGCGGGGAATTACTTCGATGAACCTTCACTCCTAGTTGTGGAGCCAGTAAATAATACATATTTTATATGTACATATAAGCAATTGTGGTTAAGCCAGGGTTTCTGGCCAAAAGTTTTTTGAGTATACATATTTGTGCTCAACATTTAGTAATGCTATTTTACAATTTCCAAACTTTCTTTCAATGTCAAACCTTTCGTTTGCAGCTTTGTTACGCCTACTACTAGACAAGCAAAACTTATCTTAATGAAAGCCAAATTTGTTCTGATTCCTTCAAGCTGTAGCAGTATCAAAGCGAATTCATACATTGTGGTAGCAGAAGTATAAAAACATATGTATGAATTCACCTTGTTTGACGCATTTCTATCGGGTTTTCAACCACAACCACAAAATTGCTAGATATATGCAAAATAAGCTTTTGAAGCTTTTGCTTCGATTTGCAAGCCTTGCTTATATGTTTTAAAAATTACTAAAGTAGTATGAGTGCTTCCACAACTTGCAGGCCATTGAAGATTCTGTAGTTTTGGACTCACATTGATCAAAATGTTAATCCGTTGAGGGACAACGGCTGAGCATACCTTCAAATACCGGACAGTCTGTTGGATATTATACACAACGGCAAACATTTTTTCTACAGATCACCTCTAGTTCCAGAATGGGTTGATCGAGAATGTAGTATACATTTAGGCGCCTAAACAAGCAATGATGGCCCACCGCCTCGTTTTGATAGCAGCGCGAGTAATGCTACTATTTGCTTGCTACAATGAACGATTCACAGCGGCTTTGGTCACTAAATTTACATACTAACGATAGATAAATTAACATTTCATATCAACAATTGCATTAAAAACGACATTTCTTGCCCGTATTTGATTAAAAATTAAGGCCAACGCCAACGTAAAAGCCGTATATAGATGGGCCTTGAGTATATTTGCTTCATCTTCAGTGACGAGGAAAAGAGAGACTGTAGATGGGCCAATGAATCCCGAAAGGTCGTCGAGGTATACACCGAGGCTTTTAACGGTGACACGGTTCCGAGGGATTCAACTTAGAATGGCTATGCTGTATAGTTCCGGCTTAATTTGAGTGATTCCCTGGGTTATGTTGACAGAAGTATAAAATGCAGAATTTTCTTTTTAAATAATATGCAATATTCATTCTCGTATTTAATTTTATGATTTTAATTTATTGTTGGCACAATGTGGTTTTAAAAAAGGTATAAATTGATTTTAAATAATTTGTTCTGTGCAATTTTTAGTATATCTTCGAATTGCTGAGTAAATGCGGCAAAAACTAAAGAAGAAAAATAAAAAAACAATTAAATGAATTAAGAAGTGCTTAAGATACACACAAAACGATTAAACGTCGATTTAAACAAAAGGAAAGTTTAATTATTGTTGCTATAATTACAAAAAAGACAAGAGTCTTTAAAAGGTAAGTGCAATTGAAAGTAAACATTTAAACTTTTGAAGTGCTTTTGAAGCAATTTATGGCGCAAAACGTAATGGAAGCTAATAGTACTGTAACAAATTTCCAACAGCTGACCCATGCACATTAAGGTGGTCCAAAAATGCACGTAAAAGAGTAAAGTCAGCATTTTTATGCTGTCACCCCCTGGGGCTGTTGTCTCTGGTTCTCTTCAGGGGATTCCCAATTTTTTTATAGTAATTATATTTTATAGGTCTGCCGAAACCCTCAGAAAATTCCTGAAAATGCAATGGGGGATAAGTAAAAAATCTTTAGTATTAATAAATGATTAAATAAACAGTTGGGTATTGTTGCTGGAAGTCTCCTGGAGAGAACCAGGGTTTTCCGATCGAAAAATTTTGATTTTCAAGAATTCCATACCATTTCTACGAAAAGTTGTTTTTTTCCCCACATAAAATACATGGAAAACTTTGAGCGTTTTAAGCTACCGCAAAATATTTTTTGATTTCAAAATCAAAAATAGGGCATATTTTTTCGATATAGAATAATCTTAGGGGATGAGAGCATTCCAATTCCGACTTTCCTCATTTTAGACCACTCTAATGTACATACATACGCGTGAGACAAAACCTGAGACCGTGAGACAAAAATTAAAAAATATCAAAACACACAAAAAATCAATGTACTTGCGAAACTAGGGGTCAGTAACTTTTTGAATTAATTATTTCTTTCGAGCTTCGAAGTCCTTTTAAAAAATACTGACGTCAGAGAGAAAAATTAAAAATGCAATTTTACTATATTTGGCCCCTAGTTGCGTGAGTATATTGATTTTTTTTTTGTGTGAAAAATTACCTGTCGTTTGTATATATGTATGTATATTTAGATAATCATATCGAGAGTCATAATCCACAAAAAAATCCAGTTGAGTATATAGGTTATTCTTTGCTGTGTAAAAATTTCATACCTGCACCGATTACCAGTAGTTCACTATTTAGAACAAAATCAGCCTCATCGCGAGTTTCACCCCAAAAAACAATTTCACCCGAAATTTTTAAATCCGCTCATAGTGAATACATGGAAACGAAAAGTGAAAAATTACCCGGTTCGAGGAAAATGAAACTCATGATAAGGTTGGATGTGTATGTACCTACTCATTTTTACTATGGTTTCCTCGAATGCTTGATTTCTGGTGCGATACATATATGTATATATAAAATTGTAAGAATTATGTTTAGTGTATTAATTCTCAGTTTTTATGTAGTTCATAGTAATTTATTTATAATTTATAAATTTTCGAGGAAATGACAGTAGGCTTTTAAGGCTTATCTTTTTGACTTACTCATAAGAATACATATGTAATTATTTAGCGGGAAAATATGTGATTTACTCAAACTTAGCCAGCAGTGATATAACCATTTTAAAAGCTTATCGATTTTCTAGTGGACGTTTGTTCGTTAAGAGGAGTGAATACTTAATTACATTTAAGTGCATTTAAAAAAAAAGTTTTCTATTTTCTTTGCAGATGTATAAACAAAAAACATCATTTTTAAATTCGATAAGACACTTCCTTTACTCTTACATTTCCATTCCTTTTAGCTTTCCAAAATAAACTTTCTCCAATTTCTGCTATTACACTTCAAATAGAATGAGCTGAGATTAAAACCAACTTATTTTCCTTAAGAAAATAATGGCCTTTGTAACACTAGTACCTAAATAACTGGGATTTCCTTGTAAACTCTTATCTCACACTTCACACACCGTTTGTGTCTGCATTGAGTAGTAAAGTTTCAAATTTGTTCTTTACAATCCTTTTTCTTTATGTATGTATATACATACATTTCGTATTACCGAATAAAGTAGAAATCCTCAACAAAAAGTTCGCCCTCGGCAGATTCACACGCATACCGTTAAATTTGCGAGCGTACAAAAGCATTTAGGGATATGTAATTTCACAATTTCTATTGAATCCGATTGCCATTCAGTCAGTCTATCCAACAGTTGGCTGGACAGAGAGAGAGATAGGCACTTAGATTAAAACTCGCTTAAAGCGTCAGACAGACAGAGACATACATACATGCTGTCAGTAAGTCTGCATTCGATTGGATTTCTGTTTTTTCCTGTCAAAAGCGCAATCAATCATTTTGGTTCACCTTAGTAAATATCAGCGCCCAATGCGGCATATATTTGTCCATAAGTACTACTAACAAGCGTAGCGAATGGAGTATGTGGATATATCTAAATACTTGACTAGTTAAACGTTTCAGTTACGATTTTTGTCTTTGTTTTAAGAAGAAACTGTTTAAGGAAACAAAAGTGGGGCGAAAACTTCCTAACGCTTTTTTATTGCATTGTACCAAGTAGTATTAGGTTGGTAAGTGTAGACAGGCAACTTATTGCCAAATGTCACTCAACAGCCCCTACGGATCATTTGCATGACATTGAGAAAGAAGTTTATCGACACTAGCTTTTCAACTGTTATCTGGTGAGGCCAATTACGTCTCTTTTAGAAAAGCCAAAATGTTAAAGAGACACAAAACACATACATATATAAAGCCATTGATATAAATATAACAGTATCGGGAAGCTGTAAGATACAACCTATTCTGAACTTCCTATCGGAATGCTTTGAACTTCAGCAATAAGCTTCAGTTCAGTTTCAGTTTCGGATACCAATACTTCGAAACACCTAAGCAGTTTAGCCAAATTGATTGACTAAATGATGGGCATGGCTTAAGAGGCTACAAAAAAAGATGTTCACTCGGTGGTAGGAGTCTGTCTTTTGATTGAGTAGACTATTAAGAAATATTTTCTTTTTTTTTTTTCTTTTCGAAACATTGAAAGCACTTATTGCTGCTATATGTCAAAATTGCAAACAACATTTGAATGCCTGCAGCTAATTTCTCAGTTCAATGCGTATCACCGATGACATGAATGGATAAAATACTAAATCAAATAGAAGCAGACAAATTTTTGTAAACAAAACAAGGCGACTAAATACAAACGTTAATGGCTTCCATTGATTGATTAGACATGGCCTTTCACTTAGCTTTTGTGTGCTTTGCTTTTGTACTCGTTTGTGTTTTATTTGTCGGCAGTGAAGTAAATAAATACTGAATAAAAGGCGTTATGCGGGGCTGGGCTAACCTTGCTCAAACTGTTTTTCATGCTTCCAAAAATATCCTGCCTTATCCTGAGTTTCACCCGAAAAATATTTCACCCGAAAATGTTTATGCCGCCCATAGTAAATACATCGAAACCAAAAGTGAAAAGTGAACCGGTTCGGGGGAAAATGAAGCTAAGGCGGCTGATTATCATTAAAGGATTCTCTTGCAATGGCAGTGTTGCATTGAATAACAAGAAATATGTACAACAAAATAATATTTATTTAAGAAATAATTGAAAACTGAAGACCGAAAAAACCTATGAATTTCTTAGCAAAAAAAAAAAAACAGAAAAGTCAAAAGGCATTCGTGTGCTGCTCGATGGCGTAAATAAATATTTATGCTTTCATTGCAACACGAAAAGCAAAGCTTTACCTTGCAGACTTGTACCTACAAATATGCATTGGCATGTGCGTAAATATTTGGTTAATAAGTGCTGGTAATAAATGCTCAACATGACATTTGATGAAGTTTCTATTCATTAAAGTTTCTGTTAATTAAGTGGGTAGTCCTCAGAAAAATATTTTTAATGAAAGAAAAATATTTTTAATGAAAGAAGAACCATTTGAGTAATAAAAAGTTTAAAAATCTTCATATCAATGGTCTTCTGCATAACAACACAACTCAAAATTTCATGTATTTAAATAATATGGCGGATTAAGGTATAAATAACCATACTTTTCTGTCAGGAGGCGCAATTGCGAGATTTGTCAGAAAATTGAACAGTGGCACATGTTTCTAATCATTGTCCAATGGATGTCTAATCCTTGCTAAATTCTTATAAATCAGTCATAATTTGAAAGCTTACAAAGTTTGTAGCATACCGTTTATTTCTAACATTTTTCCCCTCCAAATTCGCAATTCCCCTGTTTTCTGCAAGAAAAAGGGCTCAGAACTATGTATGCATGTATGTATGTATGTACATTAGCTTACTAGTTTTAAACTGAAAATTATATGTTGCAATAAAGTCATGCATTCCTTTTCAGCTTGTTACCACAAAATTGCACAAAGTAAACTGCAAAGCAACATTGTCGGAATTGTGGCTTTAAATAGCATTTAATCTCTTTTGCCTTAAAGCCTACGCGTTGCGTTCCGCAAATGCATTTTGCAAAAAGCCACAAAATGGTGGCACGTGTTGCTCCGACATACATACATACATACATATGCACATATACATATGTATGTTGATAAAACAAATACAGTTACTCATGCGTCTGGCGGCTACTTTATCACTATTTCTGACAACATTTCTAACTATATTAAATATATACATATTTCACATTCGCATTTGGGAAATTAGTACAAAGCCTGATTTTCATACATACATACCACATATGTACATATATATTAGAGGGCTGCATGAATGCATTCAAAACGGCTTTTGAATTATTCATATACAAAACGAATGAATGAATTTGGTTTGAAATTTTTTTGAATTTGAGTGAATAGCTGTTCTGATATTTGTGTCGACATCACAATATTCAAACAAAGTGAAAATAAATTGAATTGAAATAAATGACAATTTTTTGTATGAATATCCAAAATTCTATGCACATATGTACAAACAAACAATGTATGTATGTATGTATTGCTGCGCTCCTATTACATACGAAAAAACTTGTTTGTAGAAAAAAACTTTTACCGAAATGAGTTTGAATGATTTGAATGTTTTCCATTCATTCATTCATTCACATTCTTCCAGTTGAAGGTAGAAAACATAAAACAAAATGTATATTCTTAACTTACCAAATTCCAAACGCTGAGTGTTTTGTATGTGAAGTAAAATATTCAAATCTACTGTACTCTGTTTGGCTAGAAATTTGAATGAATTCATGCAGCCCTCTA